AGTCCCCAAATTCTGAATTTTCTACCATCTTATTCAGAACCCTACAGGCACCCTGGACCCTACACATGAAGTCTGAGCCCTTTGGCCTGCCCTCTGAAGTCCGCCCTAATCTGACCCAGCCCACCTGTCATTGTCACCCCTCATGGATCTGCCGTTCCGGCCACACTGAGGGACAGCTTCTGGTGCTGCCCAGCTTCTTGTCCATTGTTCACGCTCCTCTCTCTCTACGTGCGATGTTCTGTCTCCCTAATGCTACCTGTTCTGCAAGCCCACGCTCAGTGCCCCCTCCTCCTTGAAGCTGTTCCTGATCCTATGCAGCCAGACACACCGTTTCCATGCTCTCCACCCACTTAGCACTTATTTTGCTCTTTCTTGTGTAGAACTCACTGTCATTTAAGCACATGTCGTCTGAGATTGTGCACATTTTGAGAGTGACATCTGAGTCTTCACTCAACAGCGTATGTAGGGGGCACATCAGGATGTCTGGCACTAGCAGGCCTTCAGGGAGTGCTGGCCTCACCTTTTGCATCGAGCTTTTCCCAAGATGACCCACTAAAATCTCTGCAGGACAACTGCTTTTCTTGAGAAACCCAGGGGTTTCACGACCGAGGCTCTCTGCTTACGTTAGGGCCAGTGGCATGAGGTAGCAGAACACATCAGTCCTGGGTCTGTCACGTAGTACTTCAGTGATCTTAGAAAATTTGCTTAACTTCCTTATTTTCCTTCCAAGTAGAACGACTCTAATAAGATAGAAATTTATTGTCCTTTTATGTAATGACCCATTGGTGGGCAGATGGTTGAGGACAGGTAGGAAACTGTTCTTTGAAGCCAGCCAGAGACCCAGGTTCTTTTTGCCTCATTACTCTAATGCTGTGCAGGTGAACTAAAGCTTACTCACCAGCCCTAAGCCACATCTATTTCCAGTTCCCGGGAAGGTGGAGGAGAGAGGAAATAGCTCCCTTAGTAAGGGCTTCACCTCAAAATTGCACATATCACTTTAGTGCCAATCCTGTCAACTAGAACTTAGTCACATGACCCCACCTAGCTGCAAGGGAGGCTTAGGAACTATTTACCAGATCTGAGTATCTGATTCTTCCATCATCCTATTAAGAAATATTTTGGAAGAATGAATATGGAGGGGACAAGTACCAGTTTTTTTGCAACATTACTTTACAAAGTTGTTGCAAAGTGTAAATGCAAAGATTGGCAAAGCACCCAAGATTATGTGCAGCAAAGTCAATATTTGTTCCCTCCTAATTTGTCTCAGTATTTCCCACTTGCCTAGCAGCCTTCCACATAGCAAGCAAGTTCTCACTATATTTTTCATGACCGAATGCTTAAATGAATGGGCTCATGTTGCAGGCCCATCATTTCTAACTACATAAAGCCATCTGTAATTTGCTTATTTATTGCTGTTGGATGAAAGCTTGCTGCTCAAGTAGTGTACTGATTAATGGATAAAGAGCTTTCTGTCTACATCAACCATATGCCAAACTAGTAGAATTATCCTGAATACCTCTAAGCCTTAAAAATTCCCAAATGAGGAGGACTACGTTATTAAGGCTTTGTGGCTTAGTGTGAGATTGCTAAACTCCATTTTATGTGGGTGCCTGCTGTTTCTCTAGAGAGCAGATAGAAAGAAGTGATCCCCACCAGCCCCTCGCATTCTTTGGTTCGAGTGCTCAGGCTTGGCCTGTCTCCAGAAACTGGGATGGAGAAGTTGCAGGAAGCCAATTCTAGCATGTCATAATTTCAAGAGTTTCATCAAAAGGTTGATGGAACTTGGGGACTCAACAGGGTTGAGTCACATATGTAGTCACCTGTTGGGAATGGCTGATGGCATTTCCCCAAACCTGAAAAGGGATGATTGTTGGCTGCCAGACAGCTAAAGGGCATCTTAATCTACATGTTATTGCCTCCTACTGGCCAAACACCTGCCATAGGCTAATTCCCCCATTCTGACAATGCTTGTGTATACCCTTTGAAGTGTATATCTCTGCCTCGCCTCAGGACAAGTTGTGTTAATACAAAGCATGGGGTCCTGAGGCAAGGAGACCTTAGACCTAAGACCTTAGATCAGGGGTGGGCAAACTTTTTGACTTGAGGGCCACAATGGGTTCTTAAACTGGACCGGAGGGCCGGAACAAAAGCATGGATGGAGTGTTTGTGTGAACTAATATAAATTCAAAGTAAACATCATTACATTTTTTTAGTTTTATTCATTTCAAACTGCCGTAGTTTGCCCACGGCTGCCTTAGATCTTAGACTTTAGAAACTTAGATCTTAGTTTCCTTTAAGCTAAGCTCCTCTGACCCCCAAATGCCTTTCAAAATTATATTTCATCTCTGGACTCTTTATTAATCTATGCACAGCCTTCTCCAGATTGCTGAACCCTTCTTAATGCTGGAACAAGAACCCCGGCAGAAGTGGACGGGCAGAAGGTCCTAGGATAGTGGTCGGCAAACTCATTAGTCAACAGAGCCAAATATCAACAGTACTTCTTCAGAATAGACTCGCCCAGGCCGAAAACCGACTTCTGCGCATGGGCCACGAAGTTTCAACTGTACGCACGCCCGCACGTGGTATTTTGTGGAAGAGCCACACTCAAGGGGCCAAAGAACCGCATGTGGCTCGTGAGTTTGCCGACCACGGTCCTAGGAGAAGCTGAGCAGGACTGTGGAGTGCTCCCGCTGAAGGTCACGGCAGCCTGTGAATCCTGGGAAAAGCACACGGACAAAGGTCTGCGCCAGATGGGAAGTGGGAAGCTCACCTGGCAGGAATAACGCTGGAGATCAGCTGCGGTGAGTTTGAGCTGTTGCTTTAGTCAGGGGAGTCCCAGACTCCTTTGCAGGAATGTGCTTAAGCAGTGACTCAGCAAATGACAGAATGCCCGGGAATTGTCATTAAAACAACCCCCAGGGCTCTGGAACACTGAGCGGACTGGCCTAAATAGAAAAGCAGCTTCTGGATGTCTAGAGGGAAGCAACTACTGTTTCACTAGACACGTAGTCCAGAGGAAGCGCTGGAAACCTGCACCCCCCCCCCCCCCCGGAGAAAACCCTGAGAATCAGGGCAGCCTCCCCTGGGGGGCCCGAGTCAGGGGCCCATTAGGGGTGGCCAGCCAATCTGGTGCTAACAGTCCAGATTCCCAGGACTTCCTCTCTCTCCTCCTCCTCCTCTGCATTATCTCCTCACTGGGGACAACTTCCAAGTTGCTGAGTTAATCTCTTCTCTTGAAACCTCAGAGTTTGTATACTGAAATATTTCCTGACACTGGATGCTCTGTAATCATATGTGTGTGCGCACATATATGTGTCTGTTTAGGGATTTCTCAAAACATTTATTTACTCAAATAATGTTTTTGGGTGCATTCTATGCCAAGGCATTGTGATACCAAGACCCAGCAGTAAATAAAACAGACTATGTACCTACCTTGATGAGCAAAGAAATATTACATGGTGTATGGGTGTCTATATATACACTGTGTGTACATACACACACACACACACACACACACACAGTGACTGTCACATAGTGAGTACCCAATAATTAGATGCCCAATAAAAATGAGAGCTAATGTGTATTGAGTACTCATATGTGCCAAGTGCTCTTTAGTAACCCTAAAAGATAAGAACTATTATCCTCATTTACAGATGGAAAACTGAGGCATAGAAAAAGAACACAGGTAAGAGTTAGTAATGTGAGATCGAAACCCCAACATTGTCTCCAAAGCCTGAATCCTTTTTCTTCCTCTTGAAAATGGGCTGTCTTTACTCAAAGGCAGATTGTAGATACTCTAAATCTGCCTGAGCTACTCTAAGAAGAGCAAGCTTCAGGGAAAAATCCGGGGAGAGAGAACGTGGAGTTGGGTGGGGACAGGACTGAGAGACTATTTGTTTGACTGTGGGCCTGCGATGTGATTCTCCTCTTCCAGTTTTGCTTGCCTCAGACAGCGATGCTTCTGAGTGCATCGGAACACCTACTGTAAGGGAACAGCAAACTCCGTCCCAGAGGTCTTCCCTGTAGGCCTAAGTCCAAAGCCAAGGTCTTAATATGATCCCACTCGCTATTGGTCTGAAATCACTAAAAACCACGTTCAGAAACTGACACTTCAGGCAATTGCATTTATGAACTCACTAGTTTCGTACATGATCAGGGAAAAATGGGATCCTGGCAGAGGAAGCTGTGACATACAGAAGGAACTGTAGAGAGACTGGTGTACCCTAGCCTTCAGGCCTCTCTGGAACATTCCTCACTGCACCCCACTCCCACCCACTGGAGGAACCCGACCATCCACTCTACTGGGCTCCCCGCTAGCAAGGCCCACTCGATGGCAAGCGTTTGAACTCCCTGTGGTCTGGAGGGGGTTATGTGGGATTAATGTAGAGAAGAGAGAAGTGTACACAAGAACTGGCTGAGGATTACTGCGAAGATGAGAGAAATCCTGCTGGTGTAGACTTTGAGGATGGGGTGTGTTATTACTGGCTTTGTTTGTTAGTCTGATGAATATCAGATGGGATCTCAATCTGACTAGAGAAGGAATGGAGAACATGGCTCCGTGGCATCCCCTTGGACGCAGTAGCTAACGTAACTTTGCTCAGAGCCCTTGGCATTTGTGGTTGTATGTGGGCATGTCAGATCATGCTGGGCAGCAGGACATATGGGTTGAAGTGAACTCTGTGTGTGTGTTCTATGCTAAGCAACTAAGGGGGAGAATGTAATGGACACCACGTGGAGCAGTTGCCTAAGTCATAACAGCGCCCCCTTCTCTGAGTACCGCCCCTAAAACTCAGGGTGGGCCATGACGTCTTTGTCTCTATCACCCACCAGCACCAGTAGCTGCATGCGGTGGTGTGCCAAAGGCTGGGCAAGGGGAGAAACCTTCCTGGGTGCCAGCAATGAGGAAGTCGGTACGGAATTTAAAAGCAATAATATAACTAACCAGAAGTCAATGTGCTTTTTATTACCACCATGTGCTGGCAATGCTAAACAACGTCCACGATAAAGAGCCCCTTCCTGAAAAAATCCTTTGTTGGCCTAAGTTCTAAACAACTGCCACACTGCTGCTGTGTTTTAATCATATGTACCTAGCTTCCAATTAGCACATTTTTATTACTTACCGTTAGAGCTCGCATTCTACATGAAAGCTAATTGCAGAGCTCCCGCTTGCTCAGTCACACAGTACGCAGACTCAGCCACACAGCCTGCTCCCAGGACGTCCTCAACAGTTGGGAATCATTCACGCCCACTCTGTGTGCCCAGCTCTGTAGTGCTACCAACTCCTTACCTAGACTCGAAAGAAGCAATAATAGCACAGTGATTACCAACATGAAGAAACAGAACTTGAATTACTTTAATGTCCTGTTGTGAAAGCCAAGAGGAAAGATGTTGGACTTACGAGATAGGAGAAATCCAAAGGGCCATGTTTGAATGGCTTGATCCTGACCACCAAGAACAGGATGCCTGATATAAAGCAATGAATGGGTCAAATAGCGTTAATGTTTGCTATTATTCAGACATTTCCTCTGATTTCTGTAAAACAAGAACTTTGGGAGATTTAACGAAAAATGATTAAGATGTTTGATGACATTTCTATTTTACTAGAGAATTTTCAACTGTGTCAAATTTGAAAGCTCCTGGAATTAATACCTAAGACACACACATGAATAGTATTGCAATTCTTTGAATTTATTGTGAAATGGGAGTTTTGGGAATCTTTGCTCAATTTATCCTTATTTTATGTATTACTTCATATGAAATAAAAATTTTAATTTAAAATTAATAAAAACTGTTGTTTGGTCAACCACGAGCAAAGATAGATGGACCTATCTTATACTGCCTGTTGAACATGAATATGCAAATATTAATTTTTGACAAAATAACTTACAAGTATACAAAAGTTGCAACTGAAAACAAATACTGAAATATTATTACTCATCACTGGTGACAGACCAATATGCAAGTACTAATTTATTTTCCTTTTTTCCAAAAAGCACAGTAATGTAATAAAGAGTACTATTTCATTACCTTTTTTCTTTTATTATACTGCAGTAGGTATTTTCGTTTGCATCTTGCTTTTAAAATTACATTTTATTAGCATGAATACATGTACAAAGCTCAATAATAAACCTTTTTCACTGTGCTTCTTTTCTGCTATTACTATTACTAGCTGTATTTCATGATTATTACTGAAAATATCTTTGTTGAGGAGGATGTTAAAAATGATCCACTCCACCCTGGCCTGGTGTGCTCAGTGGGTAGAGTGTTGGCCCTCACGCAGAAGGGCCTTGGGTATGGGTTCAATTTCCTGTCAAGGGCACACAACTGGGTTGCAGGGTCAGTCCCCCCCAGCTCCCCCTCCCCATTTGGGTATCTCTCTCACATTGATGTTTCTCTCTCTCTCTCTCTCTCTCTCACCCTCTCTCTCTCTCTTTTTCTCTCTCTCTCTCCCCCCCCCTTCTCTCTCTCTCTCCCCCCCCCCTTCACTCCCTTCCATTCTCTCTAAAAATCAATGGAAAAAATATGATCTCCTCCAAGTGTCTACTATGCCGGTAAGTCACTGACCGGTTGATCTGAGGCACACACCTGACCCGACGGGGACCAGTCGTCCTGCAATGTGTCCTGGGGGCTGAGGGACACGGGGGTTAGAGACACGGACGCTGAGCTGGGTTATGAACCACAGCAGAGTCCAAGTGCATGAACTGCTCCGGAGTTCAAGAGCTGCCCTGCTCTGCCCTTCCCACAGCTTCCCTGGATCATGTGAGAGGCCCAGAATCATTCCAGTAAACCTCCCGTGCACCTTAGAGGCAGGCTCAGCGTCTACACCTGGGACAACTGTCTTCATTACTGACCCTTTGGGCTGGGGACCCAAACCAAGGTCCTTCTGCCCAGGGCCCTCTGCGCCAACAGAACGAGACAATTCGCTAAAGCAGAGCAGAAGGGAGGCGCTGGCCCAGGAGTGGAGACAGGGGAGCTCGCGCGTAGGGACACCTTCTCCGGCCGGGACTGGAGCGATCACATTCATTGGGGCCCTTCTGCACACAAGGCCCCATGACCTTCTTGGGCTGTGCGCTCCGCACCTGGGGCTTTGCGCCCCGCCCTCTTGGTTCGCAGTGGGGAACCCTTTGCAGTTCCTGTAAGCAGGCACAGCTCCTGACGCAGGTAGGCATTGAGAAACAATGGGATCTTTTGGATAATAGCCCGGTGACATTTTTACACAAGGCAGGGCCAGAGGCAGAGGAGGAAAGGAAAGATGGGAAAGCCACTGCCAGCCAGGATGTGAAACATCCTCCCTCCCCCCCCCCCGCCCCCTTTTCCCTGCTCACTCTGCTCCCAGTTAGAGGTCTCATCCTCAGAGTGGGGTTCAGGGGACTGGCCCTGCCAGAGGATCCCACAGACCTCCCTGCAGCTCCAGGCTGGGTTGCCTCTATCCCTCTGCCTCCCCCAACCCCCCTCAAGGTTTGCCTATCCCAGAGAAGGGGTTCCTCCGCTGTGTGTGGGGTCCCAGGGGAGGAGAAGGGAACGACACCTTTCTGTGTGACATCTCCTGTAATTCCGACAGTCACCGCACGAGGCAGGGATGGTCAGCCTCCTTATTCCTCCTGCTGCTCCTGTGCCTGAAAAAGAAAAAAAAAAAAAAGCAGCAGCCTTGGCAGTCGTGGGTCCCTCCCCCTCCCCCCACACCCTCCTCTGGGGCCTTGTTTTCTACACCAGAACAGCACGGACAGGAAGCCAGCTACTGCTGCTCCCCAAATACAAGACGCCAGGGAAAGGCTCTATTTTCATACCAAACCTGGTTTCCTGGTGGGCACACAAATTGTTGCCTGTTAAAATAGCAACTCGGGCAGAAATGTCTCCATCTGCTTAGATGTGCATCCCATCAGGAGCTGGCCTTGCAGTCAAACCACTGATGCTTCTAATGAGCTGGAAACAGAGCTCCCTTCACGGCTCCCAGCCTTTGGCCCAGGATCATCAGCTCAACCAGAAACCCGGGGCCTTTGGCTGTGTCCACCCTGCCCTCTCCATCACTCTTTCTCGCTCTTTTCCAGCCCGCAGTCCAGGACTACTGCTCTTCCGCCTGCACACGGGCCCTCAGTAGTAGTAATAGATGGCACCGGTCAAGCCCAGGCCAGGGGGCATGGTGCTCGGCCCTCCCTCAAGAAGAGGAGATAGACACAACGCTCGGGCTATTTCTTTTGCGCTGTCCATGCTCCTATCCACAGCCCATCGCCCTTGCCTTTTTCCAATCAAGATCAGAACCACTGACCGGTTTCCACAGTCTCTGTCCACAGAAGTGAATAGCAGTGTCACAAACTCAAAGGCCTCAGGGGACCAGACAGGTCGTAATAAAAATAGCCGACCCCGAGCTCCACTTGGCTCTTGCTCACCTTCCTGGAGTCTTGTGGAGGCCTCTTCTCAGCGGGGTCTCCCTGACTAGCCTTTTCGAATTGCGACCCCAGCGTTCTCCACCCCATTCCCTGATGTATCTTCCTCCATAGCATTTGCCATGATGTTTACTATATAATCTACTTAAAAAAATCCTCACCTGAGGATATGTTTCCACTGGTTTTGAGAGAGAGAGAGAGAGAGAGAGAGAAACATCATTGTGAGAGAGAAACTTGGATCGGTTGCCTCCTCTGTGTGCTCCAACTGGGGATTGAACCCACAACCTTTTGTTGCACAGAACAATGCTCCAGTCAACAAAGCCTCTTGGCCAGGGCTATAATCTACTTTTTCATTTTCTGTCCCCCACTCTGCCCCCATGTGGGTGCTGTAAGGGCAAAGATTTGTCTGTTTTGTTCCCTGATGTATCCCCCGTACTACTGGCCATAGTACATGCCCAGTCAATACTCACTGTATAACCCAAGGCCAGGCACTGTACTACCACTTAGATATATTAACGCAGTAATCCTCACAACTCACCTATGAGATAGTTGTTACTATTTCCACTTTGCAGGTGAAAAGGCGGGAGAACAGAGAGGCGAGGGGTGGACCCTGGACTCAGACACAGGTGGTGTGGCCATGCTCCCAGCCTCTTGCCTGCTCCTAACACACTCTGTGCAACATGGGAGGGGCCAGTGGGAACTGGGACAACTGGAAAAGGCTTATCCTGCCTGAAAGCATTTCATTTAAAAAAAAAATTGTGTTCTGAACCAAAAAAAAAAAAATTAACCCGTTGACCTTAGTTAGCCCTCAGGCCACCAGTCAGATGAGGACGGCCCTAAAGTAGAATTGTAGACAAAAATAGACTTTTATCAAGTGGGGAGGGACCAGAGGTTTACGGTAAAGAGATTACCCAACCAAACCGCGGTGTTGGAGAGTCCACAGGTGTGTTTTCCTTGGCTGTTTGCCCTCCGAGTGGGGTCTGTGCAAGGGACGCTCAGGGGGAGCTGTTTGAGCAGCAATCTCCTTGCGGCCGGCGGACCCCCCCTAGGAGAGCCAACCCCAGGGGCCACCCCAATGACAGGCGCGCTGCTGATTGTCGCAGTTGGTCTCCTGGGACGGAGCAGCCTCACAGAGGACCAACCCGCGAGCCACACACACGTGCATTATCTTGGCATCTTCCATGGCCCCGAGGCACCTTCCTCTGTGTCCTCCTGGCCATCCCCAAATCATCAGTTTCGTCAGCAGGTGGGCAGTGTGGCTAAGACACCAAGACGCCTCAGCTTGCGCAGACCCCCAGCCATCTCGCACTCGGCGTCCAGCTCAGGGGGGCCAGGGCCCCAAAGCCTCCAGAAACGCCTTCAAGCAATAATGCTCGGAGGCCACAAATATTTGTTGGATACCAGAGGCCACACTGACGTCGTGACCTGGACTGGAGGGAAAATGAAGAGAAACCTTTCTCTTTTGTGAGGCAGCTGTGGCCACATAATAACCAGTCCAGTCTCTCCATGCAACTAAGACGGGCTAGAAGTCACCAGTTCCTTCAACACGCGCTCCGTGACCACTGGCCGAGCCCTCACGGGGCAGTAATGCGCTAGAGGACTGTATAGACAGGCACGAGACAGGTCTAAGCAATGCATCAGATGTGCGGGCAGAAGAGGCACCACACCCGTCTGGGATATGTTGATTTGGGGGGACAAAAAAGCAAACCAGAGCCTCGTAGGGCAGGGTTGTGTTGGGGGAAAAGATTCCCGGGTGGGATGCAGGTGAGCAAGTTACGAGGAGGATTCCTCGCAGACAGGCGGGAAGGGCCGCGGGACTGTCCGTGCCCAGCCCTGGGGCAGGGTGCCCCACGGTGCCCAGAGTGCCCAGGAGCCCACACGCACTTGGGCAGAGCCCCGATCTCCATTCACATGGGCTGGGGTGGAGGGAGCCCTGCGTGGGGCAAACGCAAGTCGCCTCCATCGTGGACGCCACGTTATCCCACAGGACTCACCTCTGGCCTCTGCGTCTCACGGAGCCTGAGCATCTGTGAGTGGATGCTGCCAGCTTCTCTGTGAGTGGATGCTGCCAGCTTCTCCGTGCCCACGATCTGGCATAGGCCCTAAAGTCGCTCTGCCACTTCCTGGCTGTGTGGGCCACACACAGTTTAGTGACTCTTCTGGAGACTCGGTCTCCTTGTCAGCAGGATGGCATGGCGTCTAACTTGGAGAATGAGATAGGAACAGGCGATTAGAGAACAACATATATTGTGTTAGCGCAGAGAATCCAATAGGGTTATCTCTTCGGAAAGTGCCTTGCAAACTGTGAAGGCCAGTGCAAGTTCGTCAGGATGATATCTGTTAAATGAAAGCTCCACGAGAGCAGGGGGTTTTGTCTGTTTTGTCCACAGTTGTGCCTCGGGAGCTAGGACAGTGCCTGGCATACAGCAGGCACCCAGTAACACTTGTGGCAAAAGTGAATGAACGCTGGCCCAGAAGGAGGTACACCCGCTGAGAACTCAGCAAGCGGAGGCGAGCTCCTTTACGTGGTCAGGACTGGAAGCTGCAGGTCCACACGGGGCAGCCCCCCAACCCCCTGCCAGTCGGCCAGCTCATGGGGTGGGGGTGCACCCCTGCCTGCCTCTCTGGGGCTCAGTCTCAACCCCTAGACCTAACCCTTCAGGACCCTCTCTAGCTCAGCTGTGGGCTGGGTGGCACATGCGTGCCCCTTCCTGCTCCATCCCAGCCACCACCTCCAGGATCGGAGGGTGTCAGGAGCATGAAAGAACCAGTCTTGGACGCTGGGGCTGAGACACGGGCAGAGAGCACTGGGTTCCCTCCACACGTCTACGCCGGAGCCTGAAATAGCTGTGAGGCTAAAGAGGATCTCAGAATAGCTTTCGGCTCCACCACAATTCCAGGCTGGGGCACAG